CTGATGGCCACCTATAAGTTTATCAGGGGTGACCACCAGTTTCTGTGGGAACGTTTGTTCACCAGAGTGCCTCAAGAGATGACAAGGTTGAACGGTCATAAACTACTGCAAGACCGCTGCATGCTGGACATAAGGAAGAATTTCTTTACTGTCCGAGCCCCCAAAGTCTGGAATAGCCTGCCATCAGAGGTGGTTCAAGCACCTACACTGAACACCTTGAAGAGCAAATAGGATGCTTATCTTGCTGGGATCCTATGACCCCACCTGACTTCCTGCCCTTTGGGCGGGGGGGTGGACTCGATCTTCCGAGGTCCCTTCCAGCCCTAATGTCTACGAAATCTATGAAACTCCAAGACAAAGGCTGAATGCAATGTGTATGTGAAAAATACATCTCAAAGAACTCCAGTTACTAGAAACTAACTTCCTTTTCTCTTTTAATTCTCCATGTGCACAGTCTCACTTATAGGTGATCCAAAGCAGTGCCCACATATCTAGAGGTGGGTCTCAGAGATTTTATATAAGCAAATGGAGACCTGCCCTGCCAAATGTGGCACAGCACAGAGGTTTCTAGGATGGCATAAGGCTTAGTGTAGGTGTGGATGGAGCTCCAGGTAGCTACCTCGCCGATATCACCTATGGGAAGAAAGGGATCAAGAGAACTAGTCTAAGCTTTGGAGGAGTGAACCCACTTGGGCAATCTTATAACACAATTTGACTAGACAGTCTCTGGACTAAAACTGTTGTGCATTTACATCAATCAGCTATGGAAACAAATGCCCAAAAGGAACTTAAGGTAGGACCAAGATTTTCCAAAGAAGTCAAATCCCTTTAGACTCTGAGCAAATAAAAATAAGTCTCAGTTCACGAGGAGCATGGCTTTGGAAGGTAAATGCCAGCAGAGATCTCATGACTCAAGTGAAACTCAACCTACTTCAGGTAGGAAGTTGGGATGGGTCAACAATCATCTTATCCAGCTAGAAAACAGCTCGGGGAGCATCTGCTAGCAGGGCAGTCATTCCCCTAGCCAAGTCAATGGCAATCAAAAAGGCTGTTTTCAGAAAGCACGAGGTTATAGGCTCACACAGCAAATCCAGAAGTGAAGTTAATGACTTAGTTAATGAAGTTAATAACTCAGATAATGCCCTAAAATGGGTTCGGAGACTTAGAGTGTGGCAAAGTGCCTACACAGAGATTTCAACAGCAGCATATAGGAAGAAAAAATTGAGGAATGAGACTATGAGCATTGTGCTGTGTCCCAGGTGCACAGGGCCCCTCCCCCAAGCTTAACAAGGCTAGGAAAGACATTTTGAATAGAGTCCTTAGGAGCACTGAAAAAAGTGTTAAATTGTGCCTGAGAACAGGACTGGGGATTGTGGGACCTGGATTTGTTCAGTGCCAAATCTTCTCAGCGCTGAAATGGAAAGCTCCAGCACTACCAAACAGCCTCCATGTTTGCCTCAAGAATACAGAGGCGAGGCTGGCATGATGGGAGGAAGTATTGAAGGAAAGTAGTGGTACTGCATGCTAACTTCAAGCAACAACATTTAGACCCAGACTTTTTAGTTGAGCGTGGAAGAGACAGAGTCTATTGAGACTTCTCTGGTAACTTGCAAGGTTCAGCAAGGGTCCCTGTTGGGCCTCAAAATTTCAACCTCAGTTATCAAATATGCTTAACTAACAGCCTCTCCCAATACTTACATTGTTAACTGCTGATAAATTTTATTTAGTGCTTGAATCAGGACCTCTTCAGGATATTAAAAAAAGAGAAACAGTAAAATCAGAAACAGTACAGCTAGGCATTTCCTGAAAACCAGCACTGAAACAACTGAGCTTCACTGCGACCTGACAGCGGCCATGAAGTCTTAAGCTTTGGATGACATGGTAATAGCAAGAGCTGCTCACTGGTATTCCACGCTAGAGATCTACACCAAGCCAAGGCAAGAATGAGTTGTAAGGAATTCCTGAGATGACCTATATTTTATGAATTACAACCATTGCAGTGGTATTGCCAGCCTTGGCCATTTTCAAAGGGGCCTAGGCCAAACTGCAGAAGTGTGGCTAAGCAGAAGACCTGTTTTTGAGTGACCGTAGTGTGAACCTTTGCAGATGTGACACCTAGCTTGGTCAGAAAAGTAAAGGAAGTCAACCACATGTCTAACTAAATGCAGTTAAACAAAGCACAAGGCCTGGAAAGAGACATAAGGGAAAACCATACATTAAATAATCCAAAATATTAGTAGTACTGATTGATGTAACCAAATGTATTAGATGTTATTTTGCAATATTTTTGTTAAGATGCTTCGATAATTCATAAAAACAAAAAACAGCCTTGTCAAAGACAACAATAAACTATGGTAAAAAAGAAACAGGCCAGTGCTGAACAGCATTCCAGAGTGGGGAAGGGAAGAAGATAAGAAACCCTCCCTTTTACTTTCCCAAGGATACAGATCCCAACTAACTGACACTTTCCAAATCCACAGTTCCAAAAGTTCGAGTGAAACAAAGAAATTTAAATAAAGCCAATCAAAGATCATTTATTAGAATATTACAACTAACCATCCATACATATTGGCTATAGGCTGCTAGGAAATGTGGGGAACTCAAAGTCAAGAAGATCTACTACGAATCTGCACGCCACCTTTTTCCCCCCCACTTGAGTCTGCCATCCAGCCAGCATAGGTGAGAATCTATATTGTGCTGTCACGGCTAGCCAGATAAAAACAAACTTTTATCCCAAAGTCTGTATTTTAAAGTGGAAGCAAATAAAAGGATTGGAGTGTAAACCTGTTTCTGCCTTTTTTTTCTTTATTTTATTATCAGTAGCCTATTCACAAGTTACCTGGTCAGCAGGGTAACAATGGGGAAAGATGATCCACAGAGTTTCTCCTGGGTGGTTCCATTCCTAACTCAACATCAGTCAAATTAACTCCCGATTATAAAAGAATATAGCCTCACCATCTCTGAAAGCTGCAAATTTAGCTCAAGTTCAGAGCTTTTGATTCAGAATCTTCCCAGCCATGGGAAAAACTACTCTATTCTTAAATAAGAGACCTAAGACAGGCAGACTATAACATTCTTAAACCCCAAGATATAAGTGCATGGAGACTCTACAGCATAAACAATTAGAAACAGCCAGTCCCCCAGCATGAAACCATATGAAAAATGGTGGGAGTCATCCAGGAAGGACCCTTTGCATCATCTTTTCATTTTATGACTACCGTAATTCACATATTGGAGCCTAGTTGATGGACCATTTTGCAACAGCATTTGAGAATTACACATACACAGCAAATTCACAAGGAAATTCCTAAATGAACACTTGCCTTATAAAAGTGATCTGGAAGAACAAAAAGGCATTATGTGCGCTAGAACAGCACCTACAGGATTCACCAAGTCTGTGGCTCCACCATACTAGGCACCATGCGTGCATGCACTAAGAGACACAGCCCAGGCCTGGACATCTTAATCAAAATGGACAGTGGGGGCACATCCAGATGAGCGTGGCTTCATGGACTTCATAGACATCAGGGCTGGAAGGGACCTCAGAAGATCAAGTCCAGCCCCCTGCCCAAAGTGCAGGAAGTCAGCTGGGGTCATAGGATCCCAGCAAGATAAGCGTCCAATCTACTCCTGAAGGTGTTCAATGTAGGTGATTGAACCACTGCCGATAGCAGGCTGTTCCAGACCTTGGGGGCTCGGACAGTAAAGAAATTCTTCCTCATGTCCAGCCTGAAACAGTCTTGCAGGAGTTTATAACCACTCGTCATCCCTTAGGGTGCTCTGGTGAGCAAACGTTCCCTCAGAAACTGGTGGTCACCCCTGATAAACTTATAGGTGGCCATCAGATCACCCCTGAGCCTGCGCTTCTCCAGGTTAAAGAGCCCCATGGCTCTCAGCCTATCGTCGTAAGGTCTGTTCTCCTAACCTCTGATCATGCGCGTGGCTCTTCTTTGGACTCTCTCAAGCTTCTCCACATCCTTTTTGAATTGTGGAGTCCAAAACTGGATGCCGTACTCCAGCTGCGGCCTCACCAAGGCCGAGTACAAGGGGAGAATGACATCCCGGGATTTGCTTGAGAAGCATCTATGGATGCAAGCCAGTGTTTTGGTCGCTTTACTAGCCACAGCACCGCATTGCAGGCTCATGTTCATCTTGTGGTCAATGATGACCCCCAAGTCTCTTTCTTCCGTAGTGCTAGCCAGCGTAGCCCTGCTGAGCCTATAAGGATGCTGCAGGTTTTTCCTCTGAAGGTGGAGAAACTTGCATTTTTCCGTGTTAAACACCATCAGGTTCTCGTCCACCCATTTGCTGAGCCTGCCCAGGTCAGCTTGGATCGCCCTCCTGTCTTTAGGTGTGGATGCTTTGCCCCTGAGTTTGGTGTATTGGCTAACTTGGCCAGTCCACTTCTGACTCCAATGTCCACATCATTAACGAAGATGTTGAACAATATGGGTCCAAGGACAGAGCCTTGGGGGACCCCACTGGGTCACAGGGCACCATGACGATTGACTTCTGTCAATTACTACTCTCTGGGTCTGACCACGGAGCCAATTTCCCCAGCTAGCAGATTGTGATGGACCCAAGACCACAACTGGCCAGTTTTCCCAAGAGATGGTCATGGAATACCAGATCGAAGGCTTTTTTCAAGTTAAGATATATGACATCAATCTCTCCTTCCTTGCCCAGGTGATAGGTCACCTAGTCATAAAAGGAAATGAGATTGGTCAAGCAAAACCTACCCGCAACAAACCCGTGCTGGCTATCCCTTAGGACGTTGGTGTCGGCCAGTCCATTAAGGATGGCCTCTTCAATAAACTTTTCTAAGATCTTCCCTGGGATAGAAGTCAGACTGATGGGCCTATAGTTTGCCGGATCCATTTTCCTCCCCTTCTTGAAGATCGGCACCACATTGGCCTTCTTCCAGTCTTTGGGCACTGGACCAGAGCACCAGGAGTTTTCAAAGATCCGTGCCAGAGGCCGGGATACTATGCCCGCCAGCTCCTTTAGTACCCTGGGGCTGTGTGGGTTGTGACACCACAAACATGTCTCCAGCGCCCCTGGATGTCCAGGGGTCAAAACACGCCCCCCCCAGAACAGCACATGCACAGGCAGTGCACATGGCTGAAAAGCAGAAGCATGGCTCCAGGCAGCCCAGCCCAGCTGCCAGCCAGGCTCATCCTGGCAGGATCACCACAGCTGCAGCCCTGGGGTAACTTGTCATGCGCCAAAGCACACGTGACACAGGTGTTTCCTGGGAACAAGTAGCAGTGGTGCAAGGTGCGCCGCTGCTACTTGTCCCTGGGGAACCAAACATCCACGCTCATCTGCGCATGCCCCAGGAAGGGAAACAGGCACAGAAAATAAAGCATCCTGCCCTTCAGGAGCAGATACAAAAAAAAAAAAACCAAGCATTTCCCTTCCCGCTGCTTTACCCACTGGACCACAGGCTTTTTTCCCTTCCTTCAGTTAAACACATTCCCATTTTCCACAGACACATTCTGGGGAATTTATTCTATCAGGTCAGCAAGTGCTCCAATTACCACCTTAACCTCCCACCCTGCAAACAACAAAACTTTTAATATCTTGTGCCTGTAATGTGGATAGGGAGACCCAACAGTTTCTGTTGTACCACCAGGAACTGTACAGAGAAATGAATACTGTTAAATAAACACCTACTTCTGGAAAAGGCTGGTGTACATGATCCCACTTTAGCAGCTTCAGGTATGCCCGATTCTGAACAGAGACAGGACACAGCACAGGAATTCCACTAGCTGCAGGGCCACCATCAAAGGGTGAAGATAAATTTATGCGCCTTAGCTTAGTAAGATCATCTGATGCCTCCTGAAGCCAGTCTGTGACAAAGTCTAGAGAGTCTGCAAAGGGGTTGGGGGGGAGAGGCAAAAGTATTTTTGTAAGAATCTTCTTTTGAGTCAGTTTTTACCATAATTAGCATTCAAATATTCTTACTGATATCTTCTCCCAATACCTGTTATTACCTCTTGATAAACTTTATTTACTGCTTGAATCAGGACCCCTGAAGGATATCAAAACAGAGAAACTGTAAAATCATAAATAGTATGGCCAGGTATTGCCTGAAGAAACCAAATCATTGGCTGGAAGCACAGCAAACTAATATTGGTGCTGGTTTTAAGTTGTCCTACATTATACTGATTTCAGTTAGTAGGGTTTTTGTTTTTTTCCTAATAAAAAACTGCTCTTCCAGGAGATTTCTCAAGTCCAAGTCCAGGGACCCTGGCTATTACTTACTACATAAGCAACAGAAAATATACCAAAATATTGATTTATGGCAATGATCATCAACCAGGGTGCTACAAGATTTTTCAAAGGATGTCACAGGAAGTGCAAAAAAGATAAGGGAGGAGTGAGGAGATAAGTTGATAAGAGCAGGCTCAGGCTCTATGACTACTTGCAGATGTTAAAAAAAATAAATGAAAAAAGATGCTTTAACAGAAGTGGCAGCGTGTTTCTTTGACCTGGCTCTGAAGTCTCTGTATAAATCAGGTGATTCAGCCAGGCTTTTTGGCACTTTTATCTAATAGCTGATTGAATCAGCCTCAGCTAAAAGTCCCAAAAAAGTTCAGCTAAAGCACCTGATCCATACAGGCATTGGGTGAGCCAGGTCCAACTAAGGTGCTGCCTCTTCTGGGCACGCGTAGGGCTCGGTGCAGGAATGTGCTGAGTTTAAAATAAAATGCGGGGGGGGGGGGGGGGGAATGAGTGTGTATATTAAAAAAAAAAAGGGGGGGGGGGGGGGGCAGGAAGCGGGTTGTTTGTTTGTTTTTATATGTCTGCAAGCAGCCTGCTTTGCTGCTCCCCTATCCCCACTCCCTTAGCAAGGAGGTAAGCACAGTAATAAATAAATTCCTTTTTGAAATGGGGTGTTGCTCAATTCACAGAAATTATGAAGGGGTGCCTTGAGTTGAGAACCACCGATTTGGGGGTTTTTTTTGCAGCCTACAAGCAGACATAATATCTTGAGATCCCTGCTCCCCCGAGCACTGCCAGGAGTGACCAGGAATAACGGTCACAAGCTGAGGACAACACAGAACAAAGTCATACTTGGCTGTTTCTCAAGAATCTCCTGAAACTTCTTTCTTTCATATTCAACAGACTGCTGCATTAGGTGTGGCCTAATACTACTGACAGCAAAGTTGGCCATGTCCATTTTCATTAAGTCTAAGACAGAGAAAATTGCTCTGTAAGAAAAAAGGAAAACATTAGTTTTGTTTCAGTCTGGGCTGCATGTGTGCAACACAAAGTTTTTGCAGAACTTATTTAGCATAGATTAACCCAGGAAAAAGAGTTGCATGCAAAGTAAACAGGTATGAAAAGTATTCCCAGGGAGCTAGAAGTCTGGGGAACAGGAAGTAGTGATGAGGTTTGCTCCCCTGAAAGAGAACTCCTGTAAAGATAGCAATACCCTTTCCACAGAATAGTCTTCTGGGGAAACACATCATCATATGTTAATTCTATAACATATGATGTCTGAGTTTTCAGCCTAACAGAGGTACATGCACATACGTGCAGACTATGGGCATTTATACACATGATCCAGGAGGTTGGGGGGGGGAAAAGCACTTCAGTTAGAGCAGCTCCGAGAGCCAGTCCAATTAAAAGTGCCTGGAGTGTCACATGTATCAGCATCCCTGAACTGGGAAGTGGCAGTGGGGATGCTTTAACTAAAGCTTGTTGAACCAAACTGCTGCCATTTTTCAGCAAGGGGACACTGATGCACATGATGCTGGAGTCTCCTGAAGTGTGATAATTACCACACGGCAATTACCAATTAATTGCAGTGCACTGGAGCAGATTACAGCATGGCGGAGCAGCCTAGATGCACGTGTACAGGTGCCCACAGTGATTCCTGCCATTTTGGGCAGCTACTCTTCACGAAGAAACTAAATGAATAAAAAGACCACAAAAGAAAGCAACTTCAAAGAAGTACGATTCCAACTAAATAACATTTCCATTCGCAAAAGGTATTATCCATAGAAACATCTGTGCTCAGAAACTCTCACATAGTTAGAAAATGCTGTGGTCCAACAAGATATATAGAAGATTAATATACAGCACGAATGTGTTATCGAAATTCTCTGTAAATCTTGAAGCCTTGAACAATATGCTTAACCAGACAGGAACACAGCCTAATTCCCTCTTACACCCCACCCCCCTATACGCTTGCCGCTCTAAGCATCTGTAGCATACAAGGAAGAGGAAAATTCAAGAAAGGAAGAAATGGCTGAAAACAGCATAGGTCTGAGTGAATGAGTCCTCTCTGTTCTGCATTCCTGATTATATCAACATTTGCCATCAATGGCAGAAGGGAAATACAGTTTCATAGTTTCTAGGGTTGGAAGGAACCTGAGTAGATCATCTAGTCCGACCCCCTGCCATGGCAGGAAAGAGTACTGGGGTCAAACGACCCCAGCAAGGTGTACATCTAACTTCCTCTTAAAGACCCCCAGGGTAGGAGCCAGCACTTCTCTTAGAAGCTGGTACCAGATCCTAGCCGCCCTGACAGTGAAGTAGCACCTCCTGATATCTAGCCTAAATCTACCCTCTGCCAGCTTGTGACCGTTATTCCTGGTCACTCCTGGCAGTGCTCGGGGGAGCAGGGACTTCCCCAGTGCCTGCTGGTCCCCC